GGAGAGAGAGGAGAAGCCAAGGAGGAGAGCGACGGGGACGCCCCCGTCTGGTCCCCAAGACGCTGGCCCCTGGGCGGCCCCCTCACTCACCTCGTTGGGCTCCCAGAGCCAGACGTCGAAGGTGGGTTTCCGCAGGGCTTCTATGGTCTCGGGGGAGAGCAGGTACTGGGGAGGACGGGGAGCGGCATCAGCCGGCCCTGAGACAAAGGCACGGTGCCTTCCCCACCCCCACCCAGGACACCTGCGCACGGACCCAAAGGCTACATCCCACGAGGATTCTGGAGAGGATGAAACTGTGGGGACAGACCTCCCACCCGCGGTGGCCGGGGGCAGGGCAAGGTCTCCGGGAATGACCACCCTGGGGACGAGGGGACTTCTGGGGAGACAGAAAGAACATTTACAGCTGATTGTGGGGGAGGCTACGTGGCTGTGTGTCTGTCGCACTTCACAGCACAGGGCACCCACGGAAGGTGGCCTTTACTGCATGCTAATGACACCTCGATAAACCTGACTGACAGACGTGCAGTGAAGTGGAGTCAAGGGGAATGTTTTTTCACTTGGCATAAATTCAAATACTGGCCAGGAAGCTATTGTGACGGCTTTTTGGCGGGGGGAGCCCGTCACTGGCTTAGCTATGGGCTCTGACTGCAGTTCGCTGAGGGGGCTGGAGCTGGGGAAGGTCAGATTTCAGGTCACACTGTTATAAGAAAGAGCAGATTTTAGACAGAAGACAGTCACAGTGTTTGAGAATTAGATATATTTGTCTCTGAGGTCCTTCTGTTTGTGTTTTAAAAAGGGATCTGCAGTGGAGGTTGGGCATCCTTTTTTTGGCCCCAGGCTGGGCCTTGGGACCCCGGGACAGGACAGGGTCCTGAGACGTGGGCCACGTGCTCATATGGGAAAAGACTCTGGGGGGCTTTGCTGCTGCAGGGACAGCAGGGGGATCTGCCTTGTGCACGGCCAGGCCCCCGTCTGCAGGGTCCCGGCTGCTGCAAAGCCCAAATCTGAGCACGAGGGCGCGTCAATCAGTGGGGCTGGGTTCCTCTCAGTCACCGGCTGAAGGCATTGGTGACGGGGTGACCACCAGCACCAGACCCTCCTTTTGTAATTGTTTGAAGACCCCTCCCTCAGTTCCCAGGGCACCGCTGCTTTAACAAGGGCCCGGGGTCCCCTGTAACTGAGAAATTCTTTGTGACAATAAAGCAAAACTTCTATAGCTCCATACTGTTCAGGGCCGGGAGATGCAATGAAGCAGATTTTAAATAAATGAGTTAAAAGTGAAAGTTCTTTAAAGTAACATTTGAGTGTATAAACCATTGGCCAAGGGGGCGGTGGGGGGCCGGGTGGACACCAGCGAGGGGCCTTATCTCTCGGCACAGTCAGCTCTGGCCTGGGGCCACTCTTGCTACACAAATGTCACCGAGAAAATACATTCCACCTAAGAATTACAGGAGGGTCCCACAGCCCAGGGCCCTGGAGGGAGCTGGTTTTGCAAATGTGCAGACAGTCGGCGGCCAGGAGGCCAGGGTGACTGAGGGTGGGGACCTGCGCCCTGGGGCTGTGGACACAGCCCCATTTCTTCAGAGGCAGGACCTCATCTTACCTTGGGATATGCGGGGACATCGCGTCGCGGCGTCAGCTTCTTAGTATTATCCAAGAAACTGTACTTACAGGGACAGCTGGTCCTGCAGAGAAGAGCCAAGATCAGTTCTGGCACCACCGCGTCGGCCCTGGTGTTCACCCGGGCGGCGGCCTGTGGGGCTCTCATCGCAACAAGAACAAAAAACCCCAAAGCCCAACCCAACCCAAACCCCACGAGCCCCTCTGGCCTCGTTTGTTACGGAAGAATAAGTCATAAAGCCAAGGATGCCGCGTGGCCAAACCGGGAGCGCTCCGCCTGCACCACCCGAGGCGACCCTGAGGCCTTGGGAAACCCACCACCTTCATCTCAGAGAAGCTCCGAAAACTCTTTTCAGTGACGCAAGCAAAACAGTTATTCTAAAAAAAATTAAAAAGAAAAGAAATAAAAAAAGTCATCCCCATCTCACCCACCTCCTTCCTCTGAGTCTCACACTTGGAAGTGCCTTCTGTTAAGTTTTGGAGTCTCCTAGAATTGTGCTCGGCATAGGCGCACGCGGGCAGCCTCTGGGGCTTTTGTTGCGGGGGGAAGTAATTAGGTTTATCTATGTATTTCAAACGGAGGCCCTGGGGATGGAACCCAGGACCTCGCGCACGCTAGGCACGCGCTCTGCCACTGAGCTCTCCCTCCCCCGCTCCTGGTACTTCAAACAAGGATGGAACTGCACCAAACTTGCTCTTTGGCAATTTGTTTTTTCCTACTGAACATGCCACCAACTCATTGCTTCTGCCTCAAAGAGCTCAACCTCACGAAAGAGCAAGTCCTCCTCTGGGCCCCGGGAGGGGTGGGCCGCACGTCACCCACCCCGCCTCCCGCGATGGACTTGCAGGGTGTCCCCAGCGGTCTGCACTACACATGTTGAGAGACGAACCCGCTACCTGACTGCTCTTCGTTACTTAACATCAAGGCATCCCCCACAAGAACAGAACAAAAAGAACCCAGTGGTTTTAGGGGGAGCCCCTTCCCAACGTCAGGGGTGAGTGTGCTGGCCTGTGGGTCATAGCACGAGGCTGCAGGTGGGGGCTGCCCCAGACCTGGCACTCCACCTGGGCACCTTAACTGAAGGTGTTCTCCATCCTCCCCTGAACAGGGAGGACAGCAGGGAAGGGGGGTAGGTCCACACCCACTTTGTGTGAGACTCCCCAGGCTGGGGGTGGGGCCAGCACAGAAGCTCATGCGGTTTGTAAATACAGCTCCATCTTCCGGAAGAGCAGTTTAATACCATAGCATAGCGTCCTTTAAGCTGCATGTCTCCTCTGGGAAATTTACCTTAAGAAAGGAATTAGATGCAAGCCAACAGCGCGAAGGTATTCATCTCTGCGTTATCTGTTGCTGCAAAACCATGAAATCAAACCAGAAAGCCAGCAGGGTGTCCCCAGATGGGAAACAGCTGAGACCATTACGGCACATCAGCGAGGTGGACCGTTACGTGGGCTCTGAGACGGTTACGAGCGCTGTGCGGGGCGAGGGGACTTCAGGTGAAAGGGAAGACTCTTCCTTGTGTACAGTACGTCCTAAAAGGTTGTGCAAAACCATCTGCCAAGACACGAGACTACAAGATGAAAGCAGGTGCAGACCCCACGGCTTTCTGGACAAACGTATGATGCTGCAGGTCGGTGACGTTTTGATCTATTTATTGCTCACAACGTTGTAAATGAAAAGAGGTTACAACACAGTATTTCTTAGCCGTTTGTCAAAACTCGGTGGGACTCTGTTCCTAGAAACACACCTGGGAAGCTCAGGACCGGATTCCCGCTGGGAGTGTCGCGGTCCCTGCGTCACCACGGATTCACGCCCCCGTCAGCAGAGGCGGGAGGTTTTATAAGGAGGCTACGTGGCCTGACAGACTCGGAACAACACGTCTATTTCCTTTTTGCAAAAAGAGCATTTGGTATTACTTTCTTGGCATGCTGTTATTCCTTCTCTTGAGCCGATGTTTGCAAAAATCATCAGACTTGCTTCATGCGTGGAGGGTCTTTTAAGACAGACGTAGTGAAAGAGTGACAAAACCAAGAAAAGGCACCAAGCAAGCGATTTCCATGGTCACCCCTGTAAGCGAGGGGAGTCCCGTTTACACACTCCTGAGCAGGGGAACTTGGTCTTAAGAACACGGTGTCATCATGATTCCTTTTCTGCTTTTAACCTCTTTGCACACACGCCCACGCGTGGGCTGTCCAGGGAAGTCCTGCGCCTTCCCCGGAGGGCTGTGTAAGCTTTCAACACGCGAGGTGTGGGAATCCAGCTGCTTCCTCGAACATCCCAGCACTGGGAGCGTCTGCTGGGGCCTGGTGCCTCCTGCCAGGGCCGCCCCACCTCGGCCAGGCGCCCCCCGCCTGCTCCCTCTGCGCCCCGTTGCCATGGGAACCAGCCTCCCCCAGATGACAGTGCCTTTCCCTTTCATTCTATTTGGGGCTTGCTTTTGCTTTCGTTTTCTGTGCTCCCAGCCTCCCCTCCTCTGGGGCTCTGTCCGGTGGTCAAGGCCGTTTATTGGCGGTGAAAGTGGCGCTTACAGACCCCAGAACCCTCAGATGCCGCCCTGTGCTCTGCAGCCCCCGCCGGGGTGAACCAGCAAGCTCCACTCCGTGCAGGCACGTGCTCAGCAAGGCCCGGCCCTGCCCTACATGTGGGCAATCACCTTCTTCGTTCATGGCGGAAAACCCAAGAGGGACCCAGGGCATGTGTCTCAGGGGACTGCAGTCTGTTTGGGGGGGTGTCTGTGGGTCTGCGCCCGACCGGATCACTGACCCCACTCCCCCAGGGCAAGGTGGCTGTGGTCCACTTGGACCCCCAGCTCTGAGGACCCGCTGTGGCATGCTCATGTGGGCGAAGGTGGTCCGCACTTAAGGTTTCCTGGCCGCCTGAGTGGGTCCCCCTCCTCCCCAGCCTGGTGCCTTTGATCCCCTCTCTGCCCCCCCCACCCCAGGCAGGATCCCTGAGCAGCTGGGCTGACGTCGTCACGTGTGATTTCTCCCCGCCCCCGCCCCTGCAGTCCGGGCGAGGTCCCAGGTAACAAGCCTGGTCCCAGGAGGCTGAATGGCTACACGGCCCCTCCACCTGATTAAAGCAGAGCCCCGCCGTCAACAGAGACAGAAGGGGCGGTGCAAATGGCCTGTCCTCCATCTGCATCCATTCCTCCGTGAAGGAGAGGGCACGGCTGTCTGGGCCCCTGGGCCAGGGCCCGGGGTGGCTGCTGTGGGTTAGACCTGAGCCCTGAGACTGGATTTCTTTTTCCCAGCTGCGTCGCAGTGTGTGAGCTCTCACGCCATTCTGTTTTGACTGAAGAGTCACAATAACCCGTCTCTCACCTACATGGGATGCTGTGCAAACTGCCTGCCGAGAACACGCTGCCTCCAGGAGCAGTCAGGGCACCGGGGAGGCTCCTCTCGGATTATCGCGCTGTGAGCTCCAAAAACGTGCTTCCTGGGGGAGCACGGAGGAGGCCCTGCCGCCGGGACGAGGCTCAGCTCGGCCCGCTCCACCCGCGACGGACACCCGCAGGTGACAGCTCGCCTCCCACGAGCTCTGAAACTGGGCGGCTCTTCCCCAGGTGGCGCGTGGCGACCCCCGAGAGTCATGCTGAAGTCCTGGCCCCACGCACCTGCGACGGTGACCTCGCTTGGGGACAGGGTTGTTACAAGTGTAATGAGTTCAGACTGGCCATACTGGAGGGGGGTGGCCCCAGACCCAATGTGACTGGTGCCCTTTTAAAAGGGGACATCGCGACAGAGACAGACACACACAGAGAGACGGCCCCGGGAAGACGGGGGCGGAGACCGGAGGGGCGCTCTCCGAGCCGAGGGCCGGCATGCGCCGCTGAGAACCGCCAGGAGCTAGAAGAGCGCCTGGGACAGTCTCCCGGGAGCCGGGCCCCCCAGGTGCCCGCGTCAGACCCCTGGCATGCCTCCTGCTTTTGAACCGCAAAGCCCTACCATGTCAGCGCTCCAGTCTGTGCTTTTGTTTCCTGAAGACTTTCTTTTTCACTGTATTATACCTGGGGGGTGGGGGAGGCAATTAGGGTTATTTGTTTAATGGAGGTGGTGGGGACTGAGCTCAGGGCCTGGGCACGCTGGGCACGCTGGGCACGCGCTCCACCACGGCGCTTTGTTGCAGCCGCCACAGGAAACTAGTACCACTTGGGCGGAAGTTTGTTTTTCTTCCTGCAACCTGCCCTGCGGGGCCAGCGCACGCGGGAAACCACACCAGGGGCGCATGTCACCCTGCCCCCGCCCGGCTCCCACGGAACAGGGGTGGGGGGTGCGCATCAGAGGGGGCCGGCGACACGACAGGGCAGGCCAGCCAGGCGGGGGCTGGCGACTTACCCCTGGCTGCTCTGGATTTAGTCACTTGGGAAGGGAGGAGAGGCTGCCTTACAAAATGCCTCCTGCTTTTGAACCACAAGGTTGTACCCCTGAAACTGACATAATACTGTAAATCAACTACACCAACCCCCCCAAACCAAACCCCAAACTGCCTCCTGTAAGTGATTTGTGGGCTCTCTGGACACAGCACATCTGTGGGTGAGGCGATCCCACAGAGGGGGACCTGTGGGGACCGCGGCCCACCAGGCACCACCCTCTCGCCCCAGCGGACACGGCACATGGCTGCGACTGCCAGTGTGGGGCTGGTGGCAGAGGGACTGAGGTAGGGCTTGGCTGACTGGCTTTTCTCCCCCGGGCATCAGGACTGGCCACAGGATGGAGGTCCAGCACGTGGCAGCCGGGGCGCAAGGGCAGCTAGAGGGCTGAGCCCGAGGGTGACACTGTGACCAGAGGCATGGTGGCCCCAGCATCCTTGCAGCTTGCAGTTGCCGGGCAACTCCAGGGCTCCTCCGGGTTACATGAGGGTCTCTCTCCTGACCCCAAACAGACTCTCACTATGGGGGTGCGGGGATGAATCATTCGCTCGCAATTTTCTGTTGTCACAAACTCCTTCACCCAACTTCCTCCAAATCGAATGGACTGAGACATCACGAAATCCAAATCAGCCGACAAGTATGTGGGATGTGAACTCGGCAGCGTCCCGGTAAGACACACACAGATGTGGCTCTGAGCCCGTGAGGCTACTCCCCGGGCCTGCCGCGAGGCTGCCAGCCCTGCCGTACTCCGGTGGGACCAAGTCGCCGCCATCAGCATCCCTGTGCCTCCGGCCCCGCAGGCCCTTCCACTCGGCCACACTCCACATGAAGCAGGTTGCTCTCAATTTTTAAAACATAGGGGATGAGCTTCAAGATGTTAGATGTTCTCCATAGGACAATTTGGTGCATTGGCACAGGGCTTCTCAGGTCCAGTAGTCCCATTAAATCCTCTGAGGTCTGGCTGTAACCGCAGCATCCTCAGTGGCCCCCTGGATGGTAACCATGGGCGTGAAGAAGCCCAGGGGAGCAGACAGGTGTGAGCGGGTCCTGGTGCATGGAGCCCCGCACGCTGCAGGTGCTCAATGCGTGTGCAGCGTCCAGCATCATCTTGGCTGACTTTGTGCGTTTCTGTCCTCAGCCTGAACATCTGCTTTGGCTGTAGCTTTGGTAGAGGGTCCGGCTGTAGCCCAAACCTCACTTCTGAGGCAGGCGGCATTTTTTCCATGAATTTTGGAAACCTGGTCCACCTCACGCTGGCTCCCCAAGGGCACATGTGGAGGGACCCTTGTTCCGCAGGACAAGTGATTTCTGTGTCCAGAATGGCTGAACCTCGTGGCACAGTTCCCCTGACCTGCTGCTCTGTGCTGTGGGCACATCCCCATGGGAGCGGGGCCTCTGGAGCACCCGGACACTCATCCCCTGTAAGCCAAAGGCTGTTCTGCTTTGATTGCCCTCTTTCTTAAGAAATCAGTGTCAACTTCATTCAAGGAGAGAAGTGAATCCTAACACTGATCTGCAGGAAGGTCATTCTCCCTCCCTGTGACGTCATCCTCTTGGCCTCCATCTGCCGTAAACGCTCCTTTATGATAAGAAAGCTGTGTAATCGAAAAGCAAATCCCAGATGGTGCCACCCCAGCCAGAGCTGAGTCAGACCTTCAACCTTGCTTCTGGGAAGACGCAGCCCCTCCCACCCCCGTATGTTCACATGGAGCTCTGCCCCAGGGCTCATCCGGTTCGGACCTTACCTGTTGCTTCTGGCTGCCAGCTCCTCCCTCATCTTTTTAATGTCGCTCTTGCATTTCTCAATCTCCACCACTTTCAGTCCTTCCACTGGTGACAGAGAGAAACAACGGGGTTACCATGGATATGCGAGGCCGGTAACTGGGGGCTCCCACGTCCCCCGGGGGAAAGCTGGCCTGGGCAGTGGTTCCCACTCCCTCTAGGCTGCAAATACTCAGGGTCTCACCCTCAGTCAGCCCACCACAGATGACTCACGTGGCGGGTCTGTTCTGTGGCCCAGAGAGAAGCATCACGATCATCTGTGTGGCCCCTTAGGAGGGAAGCCCCTTCCCCTCCCATTCCCTGAAGCTGAATCTCCACTCTTTCCGCACCCACGCCTTGCTTTCTCTCCATGTCCCTGCGCACCGGCTGAGGACACAGGACAGAGTCTTTTATCCCCGAAAGGAAAAGGGGGTACGTGTTCTCAGGGCATTAAAATGCAATGAAGGGCTCAGTGGTTGCAAAACCACAGCCTTCCCAGCAAGGATTAAAATTTCATTAAGATAAGCTTTTAAGTTAAAAAAATTTCATTAAGATAAAAGCTTTGCATTTTAAGGTCCTCTGCAGAGCAGTTCACCAGGAGAAGTGTTCGCTTGAAATGGGTGCGAAATGAACAAACCAGGTTAAGACCAGGCTGAGAGACCCTGGTCTTGGTCTCATCCCTGGGGTCCTGCTTCGGGGGGGTCCCCTAAGTCAGGACACTATTTTCATCAAAGGATGGACTGACGCTTATGCCTGCAAGCGAGTATTCAACTCAAGATGTTCACCCTCGCAGGTGCACATTTAGCCTAGCAATCCTGCAAGCTTTGGAAAGGCTCTTAAATCAGAGTCAGTTCATAAGAAATAAAAAAGATTAGTTTCGTTACTTTGTAATCACCCCTCAATTTTCATGCAAAAAGATACTACCCACAATGCCACTCACTCCCCCTTTTCATCAAGCGTGGCTCTGAATATGGCTAAAAATAACCTGCGGATGGTTTCTAAAAGCAAAGCAACTCAATGACTTCCACTGGTTCCCACCAATCCCCGCCCACCCGGAGGGACTCTCAAGACTGGAGCTCACATCGGGGGAGACGCTTCTGGTGCCAGGCTCCGGGCAGCCTGGCAGGGACCGTAACCTCCCTGCGTGGGTTTTCTGAAGTTTACAGCGTCAGGGGCCAAGCAGGGGCAAGGCTACAAGAAACCACTGCTTCTTTCTGCCCAAATGGCAGGAATCTGGAGGATTTGGCGTTCAGATCTGGTCCCGGTGGTCTGCGTCTGTGTGCGTGGGATGCTGTGGGAGAGGCCCTTCTGCACCAGGACCTGGGACCAGCGAGGCGGGGAAGCACAGGCAGCTAGCCCGCTGTACTTCGGGCTCCCACCAAGAGCCCACGCCCTCCTTCTGGAGCCGGTGCTCTCAGCACGTTTCGGCGTCTCAGACCCTGTGAGGAGGTGGATGAACCCACGGGCCTCTTCTAAGGAAAGACACATCACCGTGACCCTTGACGGTTTGCACTGAGACCAGCACACAGCCTCCCAGGGTGCTCCTTGGCCTCGGTCTCACTGCGGGAAGCTACCCCGCAGAGGAGGGGGCCCCCGGTGGGGCTGTGTCTGCAGGGCTGCCTTGGGGGCGCTGATGTCAGCAAATGGTACACTCAACATCAGTGGTAGGAAGGGGCTGGGGAAGGGGCTGTGAACACGTGAAGCGCAGACAGTTTCATCGAGTTGAACACATCCGGGGCAGAGACCTGGCATGTGGCGTAGACTTGGACCCAGAAGCGAACATATCTGGGGAAGAGACTGTGCACGCAGTGCAGAGTCCGAGCAGGGTAGCTGCGTCCTGCCAGTCAAGGTCCACGGTTACATTTATTGCATTTCAAACACCATTTTGCTGAACACAAAATAACCTGTGATCCTTGCAGAAAATGGAGTTAATACAGAGCATCTCAAAGGATACTTAAAAAGGTATCCGTGACCCTACTGGCCCAGAAAACAACTCATTTAATATTATATATATTGATTCCAGGCATTTTTCCCCACCCTCGTGCTTTCTAAGTATCTATCTGTCGATCTGCTCTTAATTTTTAAAAAGACAAAACTGGAATCATGCTGCTGTTTCCCTGTTTGCTCTTTTCCGTCATCAGTAAGTCAAGGATGCTCTTTCTCTCAGCAGCTGCCTCCAGATCATGGCTTTTGGTGGAGGCCTCATGTTTGATTAATCAATGTATTTCAGACTCCTTGGCCACTGATTGCGGGTGATGTGAAGATGAAACCTTCTGGGCAACATAGTACCGTATCGCTAATCTGAACCTCAGAGATTCAGAATTTCTGGCAATTAGGTTCACGAAGAGCCTGGTTGCCAAGGAGATTGATAGTGAGTAATGAGGTGGCAGAAATGCATTAATCGATGGGAGAGAAAAGCAATGCGTGGTGGGAATTAAAGAGACAGACCGCAGGGGGAGGCCGGGAGACGGCCAGAGCCACGGTGGAGTCAGGCACCAGCAGCCCCGGGCCGCGGGCTCCCCGGCCTTGCTGGACCGGGCTGCCTGTGGGAAGATTCCCCAGCTGCCCCGCGGGCCCTCCCACCCTGGCGGAGGGAGAAGGCCATCGGCACTGGGCCTCCCCGCAGGTCCTGCCCCGACAGGGCGACGACGGCTGAGACGCTGTCAGGTTCCTCTGCCACGGCCCACGCATTCCCCTCAAGCTTTAACTGGGCGCAGAGCAGATCCCCGAACTAAAGCAGAGGCACCCCAGCCCCGCCCAGCACTGGAGGCCCCGCTTTATTCTCCCCATCCAGGCGCGGGCCCCGGGCAGGCTGACTGGCAAAGGTGGCGTCACCTGGACGCCGCTGTCCTCTCTGGGACATTAGAAGGGGCTCTGTGGGCCTCCACAGGCCACGGCTGCCCTGATGCCGAGAACCTTTAGGTGATTTCCTAAAAAGGACGCCGGCTTTGGGCACAGGGCCCCAGACAACAGCACAGCATGGTCACGGCCACGGTCATGGAGGCAGCTCCATCCACCCTCTTCTCCATCCGCCCCGCCCGGCTCTCCCAAGAGGCCGCCAAGGGCAGGTGGGGCCTGGCTGGGCTGCAGAGCTTCCAGAGCTGTTTCCAGACACGTGAAGGGGGCCGCGTTTCAGTGCTTCCTCCGAGGACCTCAGTAAGGAACCTGCACGAAGCACGCTTCCCGGATGACAAGGGGAAAAGCAAGGTCCGGTCTCAGCCTCGCGTTTTCTGGGCTGTTTGCAGGACCCGCGGTGAACGTTGCCCCCGGGGCCAGCTCTCCAGCATGTGGGTTGTGGGCCAGGCCAGGGCACAGGACAAAGGCTGGAGGCAGAGTCCCTGGCACGGCGGCCCGTGTCCCACAAACAAGGAAGGAAGGGGGGCCCTGGACGGTCCCCCTCCAGCCAGGAAGCGAGGGAGGCCCTGCGTGTCTTGTGTTTATGCAACGGCCTCTGACCTCCACGAGGCCCAGGCTCCTCGCAGAAGGAAAGCACTGTCTGGTAAAAGGAAGAAGAGCTCTGAAGGTGAATTAAGAGGAATGGCGGAATTTATGTTGGATTCCAAAGAATCACATGCTTGAGAAGGTAAAAAAAAAAAAGGACAGGAAATTCCACTTAATACAAGCCGACCAGCGCCCTGTGGTTTACAGACGGCAGCTCTAGTGGTGCCTCCTTGAGCAACAGAAGCAGAGACAGCTCCTAACACAGCAGCTCACACGGGCCAGACAAAGCATGTGTGAGCGTGTGTGTGCTCACATGTGCGTGTGCGTGGAGGTACGTGCCTGTCTCTGTGTGTTTACGTGTGTGTGCAGGTAGGTGTGTGTGTGTGTGTGTGTGTGTCCCCACATCTGGCCGGCTTGCTCCTGACGGCTGTGCAGGGTCAGGACTGACCTTCTGAGTAGCTGGGATGGCCAGATCCCCAAGTGCCCCGAGAGGTCTGATGCAGGACCCCATCCTACAAAGGCCTCCCCTCTCCACCTCCAAGTCACCTGCCTGTGCCTGTGACCTGCATCTTCATCGAAGGCAGTGACGGCTGTCCCTGGGTGGCCCCTTGGGATTCATACCCCCGGGAGCTCAGCACAGGTGAGGGGACCATGGCCACCTCCACCCTAAAGGAGAGGCTGCTGGGGGCCGGGAAGGAGTCAGCCCCGAGCACCAGGAGAGGGTGCACCCGAAGCCAGGTGGGGTTCACAGAGCATGAGAGCCCCCCGAATCACAGCCACCTCCTGGAGGGTGAGCCCCCACGGCCAAGCTCCTGTGTCTGGTGGGCAGCCAGAAGAAGGTGTGGATGCCGGGCGCTGACGTGGGGAGAGGTCCCCAAGTAGGGCCGTGGGAGGAACCCACTGCCCGCAGGCCACTCCCCCATCCCGGACTGCTGCCAAGTCGCCCTCCAAAGACAGTCCCCTCCTCCCTCCTACTCCTTAGAAATGCGAGCTCCCTTGACCCACTCCTTCAGTGCCTAGGTCTCCGGTGCTAGAAATTAACCCAACTAGTAAAATCACGAGTGGTTTTGATCCGGGCAGTGAGCCTGAGCCCGGGGTATAAAGGGGTGATGCCTTCCTCCAGGTGACTTACGCTCATTACACAAAAGCCCTGGGGGAAACGCTTTCCCTCCCAGGAGCCACCTGGTTCTGGAAGACTTGGGGCGGGGGGGCGGGGGGGAGGGTATAGGCCAGGGGAGAAGGTCACCTGGGCTCTGTCCTTTAACGGTCCTCAGTTCACAAGCTGCTTGAAGGCAAAACAAAAACACCTCACAGCCTGATTGCTGTCTCCGTGGCCAGATACTGGAAGCCTCGCACGTTCAGGTCAACACGGCTCTCCACGGGAGCTTTGAAAATTAATTAATGGCCTCTTCAGCTTGCCTGTTTACAAGTAATGGCGGCACTTAAGGTGGCTTCCGAGTGGGGAGGGCGGGAAGGAGCCGGTGGAGCTGGCGGGGGGTGCACCTGCTGTCCCCTGGCCCCTCCATCTGCCCCCCAGGCGGTGACTGTGCGACTGTCCCCCTCCGTAAATGTAGGTGGTGACTCGGCAGTGAGCATTTTTTGTGTTCTGTATTGGAAACCCTTCCCACGTCCGGAGAGTTCTCTCCCCGATGGGGCTTGGCGGGGAGCTGAGCCTGCCCCCTGCACAAGACGGAAATATCAGATGCTCACGGCAGTGAACTGTGCCCCCGAGGAGACAGGCTCACCTCCCCAACCCCAGAACTCACGAGTGTGACCTTGTGCAGAAAAAATGATCTCGAGGTGCGACCACCCTGGGTTAGGGTGGGCCCTAAGTCCAAAGGCAGGTGCCCTGAGAGGAGAAGGTGGAAGGAGGCTTGAGAGGCAGAGGGGAGGGGAGGGGCCGTGGGAGATGGCGGCTGTCTGGAGCGATGCAGCCGAGGCCTGTGGGCAGCACCCGGAGCTAGACTCTCCCCCAGAAGGACCTGACCCTGCCCACAATTTGATCCCGGACGTCTGGCCTCCGGAGCCACGGAAGAATACATGTGTGTTGTTTTAAGCCCCTGGTTTGCGGTCCTTTGTCATGACAGCCACTGGAAACGGACGCATTCACTTTCTCTGGCCTCCCTTGCAGCGACGGCGTGGGCCTGTGGTCCAGCTCTGCCCAGACTCTGGCCCTGTAGCTGGTGTACAGAGAAGCAGCCTCATGTTGGCAGCAGTGGCCACAGGGCCTGGGGGCCCAAGCACAGGTCCTGTGGCGCGAGGGGAGGTACTGCACGTCTGGGGCTCAGTTATAAGAGATGGGTGTTCTCATGGCATCAGCTCTACGAGGGCTTTGGGGCACTGGTCCTGCTGCAGACCTGCTGAGCCCTGTCTCTGCACCTGCCCAGCACCCAGGGGGGCTCCCCTAGGTCCCCTGGGGAAAGACCCCCTTTCTGCTTGGTGCAGGCACAACCAGGGCCTGTGGCTGCCACCGCGTCTTTCTAACCTGCATCCTCCTTCTCCTCACAGCGGCCCAGCCTCTTCAGCCGACAGCAAGAGTGGCCCGGCCGGGGCTGGGTGCTGGCCCCAGTTTTATTCACTTTTGCAATTTGCTGAGTGAACCTGAGCGGATCACTTCCTCTCTTGGTGGCTTCTTTGTCACCAACGGGGAAAATAAAACGGTTCTGAAGCTCCAACAACCACACGGATTTTAAAAACGTCATCGCACTTGGAAAAGTATGACCATGTAAATCATGATTCAAGTTATTTAGGTGAGCTTTTGTTTCTTAAGAGGATCCTGAATTTTTTATCTTAGAAAAATCAGAGCAATTCATATAAGATGTGAAAAGTGACCTTCAGTGAGTCCTATGATACGAATCAGCCAGGCAGAGTCTGGTGACGCCATGACCCTCACTGCTCTCGGGTTTGGATTCTGTGTACTCATCCCGAAGTCAGTGAATGTGGTGCCCATGAACCGGCAACCTTGGCCTTGACATTGACAGAGCCTTCCTGCTGTGTGTGTAACCAGGAACTACGCGCCACCTGGAATTCAAGCATTGTTCCTTATCTTATGGATGGGGACACAAAGGGTGAGTGACTGGAAGCTGTTTTCCTCCCAGAGTTTTAGCTCCTTGATCGCTGAATCAAGACTTGGTGATGATCTCGTAGGCATTTTCCAAAAATTACCAAGAAACAACATAAAACCTCATGGAACCAGAGAGGATGGGTCGGCGGCTCACTTATATAAAAAGAGACACACACTGGATGTTCCGCAGAAGGTCCTCCCTGGAGGGGGCTGGGTCTGGGGGCCTCGCGGTTTTGCTCTGGGCTCTTCTGCATGGAGGGGATGGGGTGCCAGGCGCCGTCCTACTGTGACACGTACTGTGTTGCAAGTTATCCCCACACTTACAAGCGCCCTGTGTTACTGAGTTACTTTTAAGATTAGTCACTGTTCTGGCCCCTGTTATCTTCAAAGGTAAATTCCGAGCAGCTCACAAAGAAGAGGCCCTCACCTTCGGCCTCCGCTCCCTGGCCTTCACCACACCCCACTGGGCCCCGTGGTTAACTGAAACAGAGGTTAAAAGACACATCAGGGAAAAGGAAGCAAAAACCCCACTCACGTTCGACCCGTTTCTCTAGCACGGCCAGGTGGTTTGCAACTTCAGCTTTCAGTTCGTTGATTTTAAATGCCCTGGGGAGGAAAGAAACAAAACATCAATATAACTGACACAATCCTCAAAGTTAAATGGGTTCAGCCAACGCCTGCTGGCTCCCTGCCAAGGGTGAGGTCTACAGGAGGCCAGTGAGGGGCGCTGCGTCTGTGGAACTCACGGGGTCGGGGGTGCGGAGGAACAGGACACACCCTCCAGTTATCTCGAGGGTGCCTCCTCCAAGACGGGGACCCGGAGCAGGTGTCTTTACGTCCCCACACCTGAGAGTGAGCAGACGCTCTCTGGGGGGGAGGGGCCCGGGTCCTCTGCTCACAGCTGGCACAACCCAGCCCCCATCCCACCCTGCTGGGCACAGACCGCCTTCAGGGGACCTGGTGTGCCCTCTCCAGGCCTCCGAGTCATACAGTTCAACAACTCCTGGGCTTTAAGAAAATACCCTCTGCCCTTTCCCCATTTTAACTACCCCAGGCCGGTTAAAATGCCAGTGAAGTAGCTAGGAAACGGAAAGCATTTCCTCCAGAACCGGCAGGCTGACTCGGAACGAGAGGAAGCCCCTCCAGCCACGTGGGAGCTCAGGGGAAGCCCTCCTTTAAAGCTGTCCGCTCTTGTAGGTTCAAGTCCTGGCCCCGGAAAAGCCAGCTGAGAGAACGCTCAGCAACAGGGGCGCTCGTTCTGAAAGTGCCCCCGCGACGCGGCCTGTGGTGCAAGGCGGACGCTTCCTGGCCCCCATCCGAGCTGCTTAGTTCCGGAGTCACAGAGCGATGTCACTGGTAAGGGGGCTTCTCAAGTGCCGTGTTGGAGCCTGGCGGCCAGGACAGCCTCAGAGCGAGGGGCCCAGCACCACCGCAGAGAGAGGAAGCACCGCGCTCTGGGGACCGCGTGTCGAGAAGATTCTGCACCTCGAGAACTGCTCGGCCACCTGGGTCAGCACGCTCTGGATCAGTTCTTCTTTCTCTGCAGATGACAAAAAGAAGACCGATGGGAAAAACACTCCTCGGACCGTCAGGGGCCGCATCTGCTTGCTGTGGGCGGCGGTGCTGACGCCGGGCACCTGGAGGGACGCCCTGCCACCTGCCGGCACCAGGGCCTCACCTGGGCCTGCGGTCTCCTGCCACCTGCAGACGTGCTTTCGCTCCTGGGCTGCTGCTCGGCAGAGTGGCCGGGGCTGTGGTCCCCCTGCTGTCGGCACAAGCAGTAAAAGGTGCTCAGGACACGGTCCCTAAATCCGGGACTAGTTTTCAGGTAGGGCCCTGGTCCATTTCATGAGAGCAATTACTATGACAAAGCGAGTTCAAGGCATATTTTAAGTGCAAAACACTGTTCTCGAGGCAGGTCCCAGGGAGGAAGCGGGCCGGGGGGAGCGAGGCTGCACCTTGGTTGCCTGTCACATGAAACCGGGCTGCGTGGCTGGTTTTACAAGGATCAGGTCCCAGGCTGAATACAACCTGCCCGTTTTCCTGTTTCCTGACTGGGCCCAACACAGGATGCCTTGTAGGAAGGTGTGGGCTGCGCGGCCCTGTTCCAGCAACTCTGTGCCCTTGGGGAGGGGGAGCTCTTTTCTTGGCTCCGGGGCCCTCGGCTCACACCCTAAACACTGAGGACCTAAATCAGGCTTCCTCCTGACTCCATGTTGACCTGAGTGAGGCCTAACCCTCCACTAAAACCAACCCAAATCAAAACCAAACCAAGCCTGCCTAAACAAATAATCTCAATCATCCAATTTGGCAATGAGTCTCAAAAGCTCAGAACGTTCATGTGCTGTGCCCTAGTGCCTCCATTTCTAGGAAACAACCATGTGTGTTCACAGAAGATGTTCATCACACTGTTACTTAGCACAGTGAGAACCCTAGCAGCCTATACGTCCATCAAGTGGACATCAAATAAGTCACGGTGTTTCTACACCGTGGGAACATATTCTGCTATTAGACACAATACCTTGGAAAATGCTCACGTCTGTTGTTGACGTAACAAAAAGCCTGTAACACCATGTGACCTGACTTTTGAAAACACTGGGAGAGTACACTCCGAAATGACAGTAGTAGTTACTTTTTGGTTGTAAGATTATGTGTAAACTTTTCCCTTTATTTTTGTTTCTCTATATCTAACACATTTCTATGATAAACATAATGTTAATTCATAAACATGTTTTGAAAGTCAGCCTCTCAGACCCCACCCCTTCACTTGCCAGATGAAAGGGTGGACCAGATGACCCAAGATTCCCTCTGGCTTCGGCTCTACAACTCAGATGATGAGAAGAAAACTGAAGTCTTGTTGTATCTCTTGGAGCTGTGAGAGTGAACACGCCAGCCAGGAAGCGCACTGCTGAGCCGAGCCGAGCCCTGTCCTTCAGAGACGCCTGTACCCAGCAGGGAAGGGAACGGCAACCCCACTGACGGGAACACCCAGTGAGAAGGCTTCAGAGGCCTCCCTGGTGAGCACAGCAGGGTTCCTGACCTCTTATTCTGGAATCTTTGGCAAAAGTAATGGATCACATAAGCTTCATGAGTGAGCGATCTACCTCAAAGTCTTGAGATAAATTTCTAAGTCTGTCAACAATTAACATTTATAGATCACTCAACAGTAGGACACACATTCTTTTCAGGTGCCCACAAAGCATACACCAAGGCAGACCGCATGCTAGTCCACAAAAAAAAACCCTCAACAAATTTAAAAGAATTGCAACATATGGAGTGTGGTCTCTGACCTTTAAGAGAATCGAAGTAGAAACCAGTAACAGAAAGACAGCAGGAACACTGCAAATGCTCTGAAGCTAAACAACACACTGCTAAGGAAATCTCAAGGGAAACAGAAATAGACACAGAACTGAATGAAAATGAAAAACGCAACACATCAAAATTTAGCTGTGGGACACAGCCAAAGCAGTGCCGAGAGGAATATTTATAGCACTGCAATGCTTGCAGTAGCAGAGGAAAAATCTCAACTCGATAATCTAAGAACCTAGGAAACGCAAAGCACAGTAAACCCACACATCGCTGGTGGGAATAGAAAATGGTTTTCCAGCTGCTCTGGAAAACGTTTTGGCAGTTCCTTTTTCTTTTTTTTTCTTTTTCGTAGTACTACAGCTTATATTATTGAAAAAAAACGTGAGCATAAGTGGACCTGCACAGTTCAAACCCATGTTATCAACTATAAGAATTATTTTAATTCATATATATATATATATATATGAATTATATATATATATATATGAATTAAAATAATTCTTTCTTTGTATTGAAGCATAGTCAATTTACACTGTTAGTTTCAGGTATGCAGCAAGACAATTCAGTCTTACATGAATATATGTTTCAGTTTCTTTTCCATTACAGTTCATTAGGAGAAACTGAACATAGTTCTCTATGCTATACAGTTGGTCCTTGTGGCAGTTTCTTTAAAAAAACCAAATGTGCAACTACCGTACAACTTAGCAATTGCACCCTGGGGCCGAGAAATGACAAGTTATAGTCACACAAAAGCCTGGACACAATGTTCAGAGAGGTTTTATTTTTAATAACCCCCAACCGGAAACAACCCGGATGCCCTTCGGTAGGTGACTGGATAAACAAACTGTCCAGCCACACCGTGGAATATTACCCAGTAATAAAAAGGACTGAACCTGTGATACACGCAACAACCCGGATGCATGTCCAGAGAACTACGCTGAGTCAAGAAAGTCAACCCCCAAACTCACCTACCGGATGAACGTGATGATAGAACATTCTTGAAGTGACAGAATTATAGAGACAGAGAACAGATTCATGATTGCCAAGGGTTGAGGAGGGGTGGGGAATAGAAAGGGCTTGGCCGAGGCTATAAAAGGATGGCGACAGGGATCCTCGTGGGGTTGGAATGTTCTGGATCTGGGCTGCATCAGTGTCAGCAGCCCGGTGGTGAGATCTCACTAGAGTCTGAAAGACATCACCACTGGGGGAAATGGGCAGACGGTGTCTCTGCATTTTTTCTTACAACTGTGTGTGACTCTATAACTTGTTTAAAAGAAAAAATTTAAATAAAAAAACTTAATGTACAAAATGGAAAGAAAAAGAGGAATTTTCCTTTGGACTTTTGAGGTGGGTTCCTTTGAGCATTACAGGATTTTAATGGCTAAATTTAACGTTCAGCCCAAGCAGTAAGGACGCTTTTCGTCACTTTACCCCATACCTTCCTCCTCCGGCTCCGTCCGCAGTGCGGACATTCGGACATCCGGACTCCGGTCCGTGTCCTAGCTACACCTCACCTGCGTGCCACCCGGGCCAATGTATCCGTAATCCGCAGAAAGGGCACCGGCACAAAGGTGAGGCTGTAGCAAGGAAACCCCAACGCCAGGTCGTGGTCCTCACACTGATGTCACAGAGGTAATCTAGCCCCAGCTGCCTCTTTAGATACTGCACAATCTGCATTCTTTTCAAGGGGAAAAGAGCGAAAAAAAGCCTCTGTGTAGAAGGCCAACCACACCCACACGTCCATAAACAGGGCTTGACCAGGAAGTGGGCGCCTCCCCCGCCCCAGCCAAGCGCACTGGAATTCCTGCCGCGGGGCACTGTTTCCTCCCAGGGGACTTCAGCACTCAGAATGAACTGGGGCTTACTGTGTGTGAACTGCTCAGGACGGTGCCTGGCCCGTGGTGAGTGTCGCCTGTGAGCTGCTGCTGGTGCTGGCGGTGTTACATCACCAAGGGCCGCCAAGTGCCACAGGAGTTTTTATTGCGCCACTAAGGGTCACGGACAGCCACAGGGGGCGTTACATCGCTGAGGGTCGCCACGGGTGGTGTTACTACATCACTAAGAGTTGCCAACAGCCACAGGCTGATACCCCTTCTGTTTTTTCTAACCCCTTTATTGTGGTGTGGCTCCCGTACAG